GCCACACCACCTTTAATCTCAGCAGATCTCAATGGATGGAGCACCGCTTAGGGACTGTCACTCTCGACTACTAGTAGTTTTAGTTAGGTATCTCTCAAAACCCCCTCTCACACCATATCGCACACTAACGGAAGGGGAGGGGAGGGGAGAGAAGTCCTCCATTATCACATTGCTGTTGCCCAAATGCCACTAATGCACTGTGGATATACTTCCGTCCCGTTACCTGGGAATCGGCTAGTGATTGGTATGTTCTCTGGCCACTTTTCCTTTTTAACGGAGGTGTGGCAAATGCATGTATGTATGTCGGTAATCGTTGATACTCGAGTCCCTGTAGTACACACAGCAACACCACCTGACCTCACATCCCCAGCGAACGAAAAAAGGAAAGTATGTATGTACCTCACTAGTAAGTAATACATACAACACTACCCCGAATGGAGTGCACTCGCCAACAGCCGTGAGATAATCGACTGGAGGGCGTGCCAATTACATCCGTGAAATCCGATGATTGAGTTCTCGTAATAAACTCAAAGATCAACGGTCGTGATAGGGTCAAAGGAACCACCTCCATCATACTTCCCTGCTACCCGATCTGGCGTCCTGAATCCTTTCCTGAATGGGACCTCCACCGTTCAGCCTCAGGCAGGAATGAACTTTAATCACTTGATTCCGTACTCAGAGCTACCTGTTATTCTTGATATCTTCCTCTAACGAAAAACTATTAACTGACCTCTCAATTTCCCTACTGAAAAGACAAACACAACAACATCCCCAGCAGAAACCACGACCGATTTTAAGACAAGATCCCCCAACGACGTCACGGAGTGGGTCAAAGGTCAGTGACTTCATCACCTCAAAAGCGTCGTAGCAGAGGAACAAAGTACGTAGATTTACCACCACCTTTACATACCTTACCCTTTCAGGTAGGACAAAGCACAAGCGATAAGACCAACAGGTAAGAACCCCTGAACAAGCACCGGAGATACATATTTACAGTACCTTTATCCCCGTATCACGCGCCATCTCAACGAATGGATTGATTATATATACTATTCTCATGCTCCCGCCTTAGCACTACATATGCAGTACAATCCTGTCAAATGTATATAGGTATACACACACTACTAGATATGCCGTGTAATATCTAGGACAAAGGTACTTCCTCACCAGGGTACATACCGCGAGTACCACCGTGTACATTAGTACTAATTAGTCTAACCCCTGCCTGGAATATATACATACCTTAGCAGCCGCAAAAAACAAGGCACTCGTAGGTACATCGAGTCTGGAACCGGTTTCCGGAAGCAGCCGATCTTACTGAACCCACTGCATGAGCGAATAAAGATACTACTAAGCAGCAGCAGCAGTAGTATTACTTAGTAGTAGACAAGGCCTTGTCATGTGTCGCACAGGTCGAAGGGGTGGGTGTTATTTTTTTTTTTTTTTTTTTAAAACATGTAAAGATACATGACTAGCCAGGTGCCAATTATATACTAGCTAGTATAAAGCTTCTATTCGGCGCATGTCATGGGGAAAGTTAGGGATGGTTTACATACGTGTACCGTCCGAAGAGCTTAACTTTGATTCTCCACCTAAGGTGAAGAACTGTCTGACTACTCTGCCTTGTCGTCGCTTTCTATGTTGATGTTGACCGCCGTCCCCACCGCTTTTATGCCTGCTTATTAGCTGGAGATTTGGGTTGTCATTAGTATTATCCTGTCGTACTAGTAGACATGGACTGACTATGCAGTGTGCTATTGATGACTATTATTGGGCTTTGATTGAATTCGTTGATACAATTAGCAATATATAATACCTAGCGTACCCCCGGTGTTACACAGCACTTAGGCAGGTAATTGTAGATATCAGGCTATCAAATACTTGCAAAAATATGAATATCCACGTCTGAATACTTCACGTTATTAAGCTGTTTTCTATGTGGTGGTATTTTCAATGCGAGTTCAGGTTGTCTTCGCTGTCTGCCCTGTCACTCTTAAGACGAATCAAATGTACAAGAAAAAGAAGCGTCAATGCTCCGCTTGAATATTAGAAAGACCGTACTCTGTACATGGATAATTACTGCAAACATATGTCGCGAAAAAAGAAAAGCTTTTAAATAATCATGCGTTCATACTGGACAAGGCTTCACCGTTAATAGCGCTGAGGAACTCGATGGACTCCGCCATCAAGCACCACCCTCTCGGGTTCGCCGTTGTCGTAGTAGTGTTCTTCTCTAGCCACAGGTCGTGTAGAAAGATAGACGGGCCGCTCGATATATTCTCTGGGTCGTCGGGGATCATCGTCCATATATATGCTCACATCCCTGCCAGCTGGCCGGACACTCTCTACTCGCTGAATGACCTCCCGCGGTTCGTCGTACCGAGCGGTTGGTGGTCGTACGCTTGGCACTCGGATGATCCTCTCGCGTGGAACTTCGGCCTCTTCAATATAATGCGGGCGTCGCATAGAGTAGTCAGTCACCTGGACACTGGCGCTGCGTGGCAGTGGTTCTCGCTCATCGAATGGTGCTACATAAGACCGACGCTCACTCGGGGCTGGGCGAGCGTAGTCGGTGACCCGTCGATAAGTACTTTGCGGAGGTGGCATATCCTGCACGTACCTCCGGCCACCGTACGGATCTTCAACGACAGATGGGGCCCGAACACTTGTATAGCGTACTGGCGGATGGTCGTCGTAGACCTCATTTCTTGGTACCGGCATTCGACTGGTTGGGGGAGGCATTGCTTGCATCCTCGGCGCAGGCACAGTTTCGTAGTACTGATTGCCTTGCTCATCAACCACGATTCTCCGTGTTGGAGGTGCCATAATACGGTTTGTAGGTTCCTCATCATAGTATGTCTCTTGATATCGTGGCGAGGTCGGGGAATCTCCCACTGGAATATAGCGCCGCGCGGGAGGCGTCGTGATCTCGTCATAATACCTGGGTGGGGGCCGCTCAACAACAGCGTAGGACGAAGCTCGCATAGTATGGGGACTAGCTTGGTCAATATATTCACGAGAATATTCAGGTTGCCGAGCTTGATGAAGACTCGCAACTCTCCGCAGATCTTGGTCATCACGAATAGGCCGTCTGGTACTCAGCCGCGAAACGGTTCGCGGCATCCCGGAATCGCCACGGATATCATAAGCATCTACATCATATGCAGGGTCTCTCATTGGGGGCTCTCTCCTTTCGACTACCGGCGTGTAGTGGGGAGATGCGATATCAATGTAAATTGGTCTTTCTTGAGCCGGACGACTACGGTATGCTGGGGAAGTGTCTGTGAACGGCGGCGGCGAAACTGGCTCCTCCTTGATGTAAGTGTCATCAGGGGCTCCAGTTTGCATTCTATATGCGACCGCGCGAGACCGGTCTCTTTCCTCATGCAACCTTCTGCGCTTTCTAGGCATCAATTGTTGGGGTGGAGCATCGGGACTTGCCTGGTGTTCCGCACCGTACACTGGACGTGGTTCCTTGTGCTGATAAACGGAGGGAACTTTGGCATTGGCCAAGGGAGAAACCCTGGAAGGCCGTGGAGCTGCTGGGGACGTTATATGGTTACGCACAACCCTTACATCGTCTCTAGGCGAGTTCGACCCGGGGGCATAACGGGGGCGGTCGGGCTGACGAGCGTCTGGGCCACGCCTCCTTGGTCCGTTGGGGTAGTAACCTCGCTGATGATCATAATTCTCCCCTCTCTCCATCGGGGCCACACCCGGGGCTGGCGGTGAATACTCTGGCTCTTCAAACGCGTCTGTTGGCTGACCTTCTTGGTACTTATGAGCGGCGGAGTCTGCCGCAGCAGGGCGCGGCTGTTTCTGGTAGGGTATTCCGTGGTCTGCAACCGGGTAAGTATCTTGCATATCCTGATCCGATTCAGTGCGGTTGAGGGCTTCAAGCCGTTGCAACTCATCTGAATAATTCTCTGCTGGAGCCTCAGTAGCAGGCTCATCGGAAGTAGAGGGAGGTGCAGGTGACGGTTTCTGTTGGTCGCCCTGCTGCGGAGAGTCAGGGGCTCTACTAGAGTAGAACGAATTCTCGGAGTCACTAGGCTCTCCAGCACCACGGCCATCAACTGACGGGGATGGCTTGACTATCTCAAAGGCCTTATTTAAGACATCAGAAACATCGAAATCAGGCTTTGCGTCCTGTATAGAGGCTTTTTGCCTTGACTCTTGTCTCTTCTGTTCAAGTTGTTCCCGCAAAGCCCTTTCCACCCTTTGACGCTGTAATTGTAGTTCTGCTCTGACTAGATCATCCGACTTGGTCAGGAAGATAGGGTCAATTTCAGAAGTAGGTTTCGGCACAATACGCGAGGGAGCGGTCGCGCTAGACAGACCATCACCGGCATTTGTACTTAGTGCGCTTGTAGGTTTTGTAGGTGTTGGAAACGGCTGAGGTGCATTCCATGTGGAAGACCCAGGCCGTTCACTCGTTTTTACCTGGGTTTGGGTGGAGGTAGGGGGATTGCGCGACGCGGGTTTGCGCACAAACTGCTGGGGAACTTTCAATCTAGGGTGAGTTCCAGTAAATATTTCGTCACTTATTTTCAGGATTTTCTCATATTCCTGGACTTCCTCATTTGTTGGTAGCCCTGTAGGTATACTACCCGTGGGAAGTTGAGCTGCTGCCATGGTTTGGGGAGCTTTCACGAGAAAATTATCCTTGCTAACTGAAGGTCTTCTTAAACTCGTGACACTTCTAATAATAATGGCTCTTCACACCTTTCCCAGGCTGTAAACTCCCCAGTCTCGAATCAGCGTCTGACAAGTCAGACGGCCTGGGCGTGATCACAAGTCGGAATAGTTGGGGAAAGGAACGGGGACGTTGTGTTGTTTCCGAAGGAAAAGTAGCAGTACAAAGTCCGAACGGGTCGCCGACCGCCAGCTCTCTTGTGAGACGCTAAACTCCCTCCGGACAGCGATGGCGGGTGGGCGTTTTATCCCGCGGTTATTGGCTATCGATCCACCCCCCCGATATAAGAATCAGTGTCTTGTACATTCGACTCCTGCTCATCTTGCGCTATGAGTCATATCTTCTCCCGGTCATTGCTGTTAGGATCTTCTCGTGCATGCTACTTGTCACCTAAACCTCAGAACCTGTCGCCGTCCCTTCTTACTTGCATCGGAACTGCCTCCTTTTCCAATACTTGTATACATCATTTCAGAAAAGCCATGTCTCCATCAAACGATGCAACCAGCGCGGGCTCGGATTCTAGACCGGTGTTCTTCTTTGACATCGATAACTGTGTATGTCGACATTACAAACCATGAACCTTTTATTCCTTCTAAACTAACGTGCGATGTGTACAGCTCTACTCCAGAAGTACGAAGCCCCTCCCCATTGGCGGGGAATGTGATACTGAATGCTGACGATCGCATATAGAATGTAACATCCATGATGAAATGCAGAAGCTGATTCGTGAGTGATATATGCGATCCATACATTTAAAAACGGGACTAACTAGATATCTCTCTATTACAGATCAATTCTTCGTGAAACACCTCTCCCTCAACGGCGAAGACGCTCATATGCTGCACAAGAAATACTACACAGAATATGGACTTGCAATTGAAGGTCTCGCTCGCCACCATAAAATCGACCCACTCCTATTCAACAGCGAAGTCGACGATGTGCTGCCATTGGACACGATCCTGAAACCCGATCCCCAGTTGCGCAAGCTGCTTGAGGACATCGATAGAAGTAAAGTGAGGTTGTGGCTTCTGACCAACGCATACGTCACTCATGGAAAGCGTGTCGTGAAATTGTTAGGGGTGGATGACCAGTTCGAGGGCATCACCTTCTGCGACTACGGGCAACTCCCTCTGGTGTGCAAGCCAACACAGGAGATGTACGCTAAGGCGGAGAGGGAGGCAAATGTCCCGAGTACGGCAGAACGCTATTTTGTCGGTATGTACTTCCATGGTTTGGGAGTAAGGCTTGTACGCAGTACTAACTCGCTCTTGTAGATGACTCTGGTTTGAACTGCAAGCATGCCGCGGCTCGCGGCTGGCAGACGGCTCACCTCGTTGAGCCAGGACTCCCTTTGCCCGAAGCCCCGGTGTCGCAATACATGATCCGGAGCCTGGAAGAACTGAGGACATGTTTCCCACACTTATTCAAGACCTCGAACTGAATTGAGTGTGAATAGATGGTTTGCATAGAGATTTTTGTACATTGTATTGTGTTACGCATGTTATGAAGAGTACGAGCGACGGCTATACATAGGGTTTCTTCCTTTATACATAGATTTAGACGTATACATGTGTTGGTACGAATATAATCATAAAATGCCTATTATCATTACCTACATAATGATCCAGTTTGAATAACCAAAGACTAAGATATGCTGATAAGATTATCTGATGCCTCAGGCTGCCAAGAGTCCTTCCGCGCGGATCGCGTCCTAAGGCTCCGAACGGAGGTCCGCCGACTAGTAACAAACACATCAACAACGGCCCCTATCTGACCGCCATACTCGATATCCAGAGCCATTGTTCGCGCAGGGGCTTTATCTCTGAATGCTTGATCATGGCTGATTTAACACCCGGCCATGTGGTCACACTAACCGACGGTCGGCAGGCCACCGTGCGGTTTGCTGGAACCACTCACTTCGCTGCCGGGGACTGGGTCGGCATTGAATTGGACGAACCCACGGGAAAGAATGACGGAGCAGTCCAGGGAGAACGCTACTTCGACTGCGAATTCGGATATGGCATGTTTGTCCGACCGACTGCCATTGCGGCTATTATTGGCCCACCTGCAAAAGAAGCCAAACCAGCTGTTAAGGGGACCACGAATGCTCCGCAGACCAGAGGGCGGGCCCAAACTGGAGCTTCTGCGAGCGGACTGGGGATCAAGAAACCGAGCGCTATACAGGGTGCGAATACGAAAAGACATAGTGGTAGCTCGGCCAGTCCGAGTCCTGCGGCAAAGAGTGCGTCCCAGCGATTGGGCTTGAAGGTATGTATATCGTGAACTATGGAACTCATGGGACTGCTTGCTCATTGACCCAGCAACCGCAGTCGCCTACAAAATCGCAATCGCCGACGAAGCAACTATCGGGCGCATCCACGCCACGCTCCTCCATTAGCGGGCCTTCGCGGCCGTCCGCTGCGACATCTAAAGGTCGGCCGTCCATTGGGGCTAAGTCGACATCTATGGGCCCCCCGCCTCCTCCATCTGCGTCGCGGCAGTCCCGGCCATCGATATCTGGAGGTTCGAATAGAACTGTTAGACCAGGCCTACAAGGAGCCACAACAACACCCGCTGGGGTAGCCAAGCGCCCTGCTTTACGGCCAACCGCTTCCAAAAGCTCGGAAGAACAGGAGAGAGAGAGTCCACACTCGGAGGATATCGAGACCGCCGATCACTATGCCGAGGCCGGTGAGATGGAAAGCGATGAGCCAAATGCTAAGCCGTCTAGACTGGCTTCTGGTTCATCACGGGCAGGTGCTGCTCGCCCGGGGCTTTCCCAGACCTCGTCGCCGCGACAAGCTCAGAGTACTGCGCTATCAAGGGAGCTGGAAGAGTTGAAAACAAAGCTTAGGGTGATGGAGAAGAAGCGGACTGAGGATCGAGAAAAGCTCAAGGCTTTGGAGACGCTCCAGCAGGAGCGGGATAAGTTCGAAAGTATTATCCAGAAACTGCAAGCTAAATACCAGCCACAGCAGCTTGAGATTAGCGACCTGCGAAAGAAGTTGAGAGACTCGGAGGCCCAACTCGAAGAGATCGAGCGCATCCAAGCGGAGCATGACTCGATTCTGGAAATGGCAACCCTCGACCGCGAGATGGCGGAAGAGACGGCCGATGCTTTTAGACATGAGGTTGAAACATTGAAGTTGAGGGTGGAGGAACTTCAGTTGGAAGCGGAGGTCCTGCGCGAGGAGAATGAGGAGCTCGGCCAGACAATGAGTCCGGAGGAGAAGTCCAGTCATGGATGGCTGCAAATGGAGAGAACAAATGAGCGTCTTCGTGAGGCCCTCATACGGCTTCGCGATATGACACAGCAGCAGGAATCGGAGTTGAAGGACCAAATCAAGGAACTACAACAAGATTTGGAGGACTATGAAAGCATCAAGTCCCAGTATGAATCCACAAAGGAAAAGCTGCTTGTAGCGGAAAACAATGTTGAGGATCTTAAGCAGCAACTGGAGACTGCTCTCGGTGCGGAGGAGATGATTGAGGAGCTCGCAGATAAGAACATGCACTATCAAGAGGAGATCAACGAACTCAACGCTGCCATCGAGGACCTCGAAGCGCTGAAAGAAATCAACGACGAGCTCGAGTACAACCATATCGAGACAGAAAAGCAAATGCAAGAAGAACTCGACTACAAGGATTCTCTATTCAATGAGCAATGCCGCAAGGTTGCCCAGCAAGACGAAGTCATCGAGGACTTGGAGTACACTTTGGCGCGATTTAGGGAGCTGGTCTCTACTCTTCAAGGTGACCTGGAGGATATGCGAGCCTCTCAGCAGATTACAGAAGCCGAAGCTACGGATTTAACCACAAGATCTCGTGCCATGATGGACCTGAACTTGAAGCTGCAGGCATCGGTTTCCAAAGCGCAGACAAAGACTATCGACATTGAGCTGGAACGCATGGATGCCCAAGAGGCTTCTCAACACCTGTCTATCTTGAAACTATACCTTCCCGAGTACTTTGAGGGAGAGAAAAATGGCATCCTTGCACTTCTACGTTTCAAGCGTGTTAGTTTCAAAGCGTCTTTGATGATTAGCACTATGCGAGAGAGATTCCCGGAGCAGACATCCGATCCGGCCGTAGTGGAAGATGGCTTCACAGCACATGATGCTCTCGAGAAACTCATGTGGATCGCTTCCATCTGCGACCGATTCATCAACTACATCACCAACTGCTCCGCAGAGAGCTTCGACAGGATCAAGGCGACATTGTTCGAGATGGAGCCGGTAGAGCGCACCATGAACTTCTGGATAGAATCCATAAGGAAGAACGAGCTGAACATGAAGAAATGTGGCATTGAGCTGCAAAGGTCCATCGCACTGCTATCCCATCTGGCGGAAGTTCACCTACCAACCTCATTAGAGACATTCGCCGACGAGCTCTGCATGCGCTCATCATTAACTCAGTCATACATCGACCACGCCGCATCATTAATATCACGCCTCAGAACTCTGCTGCAGACCAAAATCTCCATCCCAGAAGGCGAAGAAGAAGAGACCAAGTTCCTCTTCAGCAAAATGGAAACCCTAGTAACCCAAGCCCGGGGGCTTAAAGTAGCCATGGGAAAGATCCACAAGGCGTTGGAAGATCTCCGATCAAGGTCTCTTGCCCTGTCCCAAGACATAGCAGGCCCCTTCAAGAAAACCGAGGAAGCCGCCAAAGATCTTTCCGAGCTGGCTCGGCACTTAGGAGAGAACATCGCGCTTATTGTAAGCGACGAAAGCCGAACAGAGCCACTGACACTAGAGGAGGCTACGAAGAGCATGTCCCAGGTCTCCACCCTCTACGCGCAGCCATCGGAATCAGGAAGCGAATGCAGCGACACAATGTCCTTCATCGCCAACCGACTGCGCAGCCTAGGCGGAAACCTCGAGGAACTCGACTCAATCTCAACTGATTTGTCGATCACATCAGAATTCGAAAGACTCCCTTCACCATGGATTGCCCGAGCATCCGAACTAAAATCCAACAAAGCAGTGTCCCCAGACGCGGACGAAGAAATCCGACGTCTTAAGAACGAAATCCACGAAGCCTCAACAGCCCTAGGTGTCAAGGACAAGACCATCGAAGAGCAGGCGCTGAAGGTCGAACTCGTCGAGTCCAGAATGCAAGAAGCCAGCAAAAAAGCCTCCATGGTCAAAGAACTCGAAAACAAGATCGAAACCATGCGAGCAAAAGAAACAGAAATGGAGAGCGTGGTTGAAAAACAACGTAAAGACCTCCAAGCCCTGGAAACAGAGCGTCAGGAGATCAAAGCCCGACTGGACAGGGTCAAACGCGCGTCCGGCACAACCGGAATCACCACAACCGAGGGCGTTGTGGTCGACAACGCCCTTTCCCTGGCCACGATGCGTGAGAACGAGGCTCTCCGCGCCGAGGTGGAAAGTCTGCAAGCGGCCGTCCGCTTCCTGCGCGAAGAGAATCGCCGCGCCGACATGCTCGACCCCTACTCTGTGCAGCGCTCAGCGGAGATGTACTCTTGGCTTGACGTGCCCCTTACACAAGCCAACGGTAATGCCCAGCGTGACAAGATCCAACAGACCGCCTCGGAGAGCAGGGATGTCTTTACTCACCTTCTCAAGTTAACTAAGGAGTCGAATATCTGCGATCTGAAGTCCACCATGTCTCAAGAGAATGGTAACCGTGCCGGTTGGCGTCCGTCGAAGACTAAGCTGCGCTACCAGGTTCTCCAACAGCGGGAGAACTTCGAGCACTGGACCGAATGGCGCGATGATATCGTCAACCAGGAAAGAGAGCAGGACAGACTGGTTAATACGAAGAAAGAGCGCCTTGCTCGTGACCGAGCCCGGAGACACGCACCCAAGAATTCGGTGTTCGGTGGCTTTCCGCAGGGGCTAGGACATGGAATGATGGGGCGCGCTTGGGAGATCCTGGGTATGCAGCAAGATCATCGCAAACTGGCTGATAGACCGGTAGAACCCTCCATAACACCTTCGTTCTAGACAGTACGTGGGATGGCAATCATAATACTATACCCATTTGTTTCATATATTAATTGCATTATACATTGATTTTTTCTTGTGTGTGTGTGACTCGCTGTGAAAAATTATCTATTGTAAATGACATTCAAGATGTGCAGTCTCAACGCTCAACAGTACATTTCAATCAATCAACAAATACCACAGAATAACACTAGAAACAAAGCAAGTACTGTACAACTCCAGACTGATTCCGTCAAGTCTAAACAAAGCGCTGGCAATGCATCCCGAAAGATGTCGAGTGATTGTCATGAAAGAAAGACATCAAACAAAAGCTGGTGCAGTAATGGTGAGATAGTCATGGACATCATAGATCGGTGTCGAGAAGGCCAAAAATACGAAGCTGTAGACAAACAATGACAGCTGCGAGCTTATAAGTTGGGACATTGAATATGCGAATATTAAATCAGGTAATAAATTTTTATACACCGCGGAAAAGGTAACGGTCTTCCATGCGATACACATCGAGCTTGGCCCTCAGATTAGAGCGCGCCTGATAGAACAGCTTCGGTAGCTACAAGGATCACGAAAAGTTAGTAAGTTCTGTCGTGACATTTTAGCGGGGAACATTTCTTACCTGAGTTGATATATGGACGCTTGGCATCGAGATTCACACCAAAACGTCTCTCCAGCTCTTGTTTGATACTCTTCTTCGTCACAGTCATCAGGTCGACCGACCGCAGGATCTCACGGATCTCCGCGAGAATGGCATCGTCGCTAGGCAGATGTGACAGATCCTCCATTTCCATGTCCATATGACGGCTCATCATCTCGGAAGGAGCTAGAGACATCCTGGACCCGTAGCGGGGGAGATCAACATGTGAGATTGGTCTAGCTCCAGGGAAACCATATTCGGACTGCGCAGGGTGATATGACTTGGTACCATAGGAGAAGCCTGACACTTCTGAGCGGTCGTCTCGTGACGTCTGGGCCTCCCAGAGCTCCGCTTGATACTCCTCCCATCTCTTCTTCGGAATAGAGGCGGGGTCGAACTTTCCTTCATCTGAAATGACGACTTTGCGGCCCTGTTCTCCAGTGATGACACGAGTGTTTCCCCAAGAGAAGTCATCCATGTGCCAGAACGAGTAGAGGGGCAGGGCCACGGAGAATATAGGCATGGCCAGGAGGTACACAATCATCCAGCCAATCATTTCCCACTTGCGACGGAAGATGAAGATGAGGGCCTGAAGACCATAGATCGCTGCGATGAGAACAAAAGACGTCCATGGGATGGTAGACGAATCCCGGGCAAGCCAGACAATCAAGTAGATGATATAGGCGAGCGAGACAGGTTGAATGCAGGTACTGAGAAGGTCAACGAAGACAATGAATCTCATACTAAAACAACAAAAACCACAGAGTTGCTGAAGGGGGATCAATTCAATCAAATTGTGGACAGTTGAGTTGATCCATCTACGACGTTGCGATAAGAAGACTGAGAAGCTTTCAGGTGCGATCGTCCAGGCCTTAGCTGCAAAAAGGAACTTCGTCTTGAAACTAGGATGATGCTTCAAGAGAAGGGTTGTCAAGTATCGATCCTCACCCAGATGTAGCAGGTTCTTCATATGGAGTGTGTCGACGCGAATTTCCGAGTAGGCTTCCACAACCTCCTTGCTAACGAAAAGCGGTTTTGCGGTTTCTGCAGAGCGAATACGGTACATGGTGAAGCAGCCCGGCAAACATGTGACTGATCCGAAAAGACTTTCGAAAGCCTTAATCAAATTGTGGGATATGAAGTACTCGTAAACTTGGATCATGGTCACCGCTGAATGCTTAGCATTTGTTAAACCTGTTTCGCCACAGATACCTATTATGCGTGTGTCGGCTAGGCAAGAAGCGACGAATCGAGTTCCTGAATCCGGCGCAACTACCGTATCAGCGTCGACTTGCAGAATGAACTCGTAGAACGTGGGATTGACGCCAATAATGTTACGAATTTGGTGGTACATTTCCAGTTCCATGGGACTCATGGGAAGGTTGTAATGCACGCGGTTCAAAAAGCGCATGAGTACCATCTGAGAGTCACGCTTTCCACGGTTACCAGGTCGGGAGACTTCAGAAGGCTTTCCGACTTTAACGACAACAAGGAAAGGAACGATATGTCCCTGCACCTCATAGAGACCAGAGTAAATTTTACCCATGTTGTGCTGCTTCATGCCTTCGCCCAAACTCTCAAAGCTGAGGGGCTCGGGATCCACAGATTCTGGAACACCCAGAATATCCAATACTATCCGTGGAGTAGGTCGATCGTTTCCTTGTCCAATAATCATACCATCACAGATGACAACAAGGAGTTTACGCTTGTCGTCATACTGCATGCGGGCCATAGAATCCATTGCACGACGAAGGGACTCCTCATCTTCAGTGTAAGCCGGCACTTGACAAATGATGAATTTATCAAGATTTTCAGGAATATTTTTCTTGCCAAATTGTAAAGCGGCAGCAAATTTGAAGATGACAACCGAGCAAATCAAGATCGAGATTGCAAGGATGAAGTAACGCGCAAACTGACATTGAGCTGAATTACGCGTATCAACCTTGCCGACGAAGAAAAGATTATCCAGACACATCTGCATCCGATCACGCATGCCTGCATCTATCTGCAGCTGTTCCCAGTGTTTACTCAAATCCTGCCCGGGAAGATCTTGAAAGAGCGACACAACCAAAGGATCCATGAACTCCCGGTCGACATTAGCTGGGACCTCCTTTCCGGGAGGAGCTGCGACCCGTCGACCTCCACTGATATAAGTTGACAAATCGTAAACTTTTCCGTCTATGCTTGCAATATTCTGGGATTTTTTGGCCAACGTGGAGATGTACTGTGGCGTATAGCCAATGTATCCTTTCAGATAAGTCGCCCTAAGTTCTTGCATCTGCTCTGCGAACCAGTCTGGACGGGAGTCATTGGTGAAGTAGCGGAAATCGTGGTATTTTGCGTTGACGTCTCCTGAGCTGATGGTCGTCGCCGATCCGGAGATGTTCGTGGGGGTGTAATCCAGAAGAACAGTGGGATCGATCGACCCATCCTTACCTTGGCATAACGCTGACACTTGCACAGGAAAGAGACCGGTAGCATCTATGCCGGCATATTTTTTCAAAGATGACTGCGGCACAATGTCGGGATAGTGTCGGGGCATGAATTTATCAAGGTCAAAAACCACGCCGCGAATGGCAATATAAGAATTATGGCCATCTTTGCCGTTATGAGAAGACAATTCCGCGGCTGAATACACATGCTGTGTTGGACATACCAAACCAGGGAAGGCGACGATAAAGAAAATGGCGACGGCACAACTGAACCAAATAATCAAGTTGATGGCGAATTTCTCACGCCAAGCAGTTCGTACGTCCTTTCGTTTCATCCGACCGAAGAGCTTGATGGCAAAGTCCGGAATGTAGAATGTGAGCAACCAGACGATTGCCATCCAGCGTTTGCGACTGCCAGAAACAGGTACTTCGTCCACCTCTTCCATTTTCTTCTCATTCCCTTTTTCCAACATCTGCTCTCTTGTTTCGAGATTGTGGAACATATCACCTGAGTTCAGGCCAGAGCCACCAGTGTCAGATCGCCCATCAAGATCGCGACTTCCGAAATATCCTTGCTTGCTTTCATCGCCGTATATAAAATTTCCGGGAGATTGGTCCGCCGGGTTAAGAAGACGAACCTTGGAATCCCCATACCCAGCGGTGCGTGGGTGAAGGAGACCATCACCACCTTCGTCCGAGCCGTCGGCGTGGTAGACAGGAACGACACGCTCGCCCACCTTTGCGAGATCTGCCCAGCAGCGTTCGCTCAGAAAAACACCCGTGCTGCCAACACGGGCTTCATTACCCGGCCACCGCTTCTCATCTAGCACAACCTCCGACTTTTCTTTATCACTTCCCACCACGACGTTGCCTATCTCCGCCAAACCAAGGAATTCCTCGAAGGGAAGAAAAACGCTGAAATCCGCGTTCCTAAGACGTTGGCTGATCTCAGCGATGCCGAATGTTTGCACCTGGGCTCGCACACACTTGCTGTCGAATTGATTCGCGATTCGCCGGTCGTTTGGCTTTAAACAGAAAATGAAATATGGGTTCAAACTAGGGGAGCTGAGGCACTTATTGACAATTTCAAGCGAGGAAAGGAATTGCCCGGCAGCACCCTGGATGCCTGTCATAGACATCGCGCTCTTCCGCCTTCCGGAGCTCTTGGCTGTACTTCCCCCATAACTCTCATAGTCTTCGGGTTCTTCCGCCGTGGGTGCATCGAAAGTAAGACGAGATGCTGGGCTGGCTTTTCGTCTTGCCATGCTAGGCATTCTCAAGGGCTTTGAGCTTACCTGAGCTTGCATAATAGCTGTTTTCTCCTTGGGGTGGGTCACTGTCTGCAGTGCTTCTTGACCGAAGAGCTCTCTCACGAAGTCGCTCCTGGTGGACTTCATCAAGTTCATCAGGTCACCGGAAATAACCTCTCCATTTTCCTCAAGTAGACCAGAGATAGAGTAATCAACTTCACCAGCGAAATGTTTCACAGTAAATGCCGAGCGGGCTTGCTGCGAGACATATCCAGTGCCGTGAGTAGACCCCGAGGTTCCGACAACAATAGCCGGGTTTTTGTTCTCGAACCGCTTCTTCAACGACTCGGCAAATTGAGCTTCCGTTCTACCGCGCCTGGTTTGATCATCGAGGATGCTGAGAAGCCCATTTCCATGTTTCAACAGCCCACGGACAGCATCAGTGTTGTCGAAGTAGCTCGTTGCGGGGACTACAACCTCTTCGCGCTCTAGCATATCAGCTTTGCGGTCGAAGAAGGACTGCAGGCAAAAATTGTACAATGATTCGGTGGCTGCATTGCTAAGAAGTTGATCCAGTGTAGAACCTGTTGAGCATGCCTGGGAGAAACCAGGAAAATCAACGATAGACACGGTGTTGGCAACGCTATCCTCCGCCGCGCATATTCTCTGATTGACGGTCTCGAGAATATACGCCACTAGTAGGGAGTAGATA